CGAGAGCCAGGAAAAGGGGAATCGAGGGGGGGAGGGGACAGAGGGCGGGGACCGCCAGAGGCGACAAGGAGGCGGGGACGGGCAGCGGGAGGGAGGAAAGGAAAAAGGGAAAAGGAAAAAGGAAAAAGGAAAAAGGAAAAAGGAAAAAGGAAAAAGGAAAAAGGAAAAAGGAAAAAAGAAAAAGGAAAAAGGAAAAAGGAAAAGGAAAAAGGAAAAAGGAAAAAGGAAAAAGGAAAAAGGAAAAAGGAAAAAGGAAAAAGGAAAAAGGAAAAAAAAAAGGAAAAAGAAAAAGGAAAAAGGAAAAAGGAAAAGGAAAAAGGAAAAAGGAAAAAGGAAAAAGGAAAAAGGAAAAAGGAAAAAGGAAAAGGAAAAAGGAAAAAGGAAAAAGGAAAAAGGAAAAAGGAAAAAGGAAAAAGGAAAAAGGAAAAGGAAAAGGAAAAAGGAAAAGGAAAGGAAAAAGGGAAAAAGGAAAAAGGAAAAAGGAAAAAGGAAAAGGAAAAGGAAAAAGGAAAAAGGAAAAAGGAAAAAGGAAAAGGAAAAAGGAAAAAGGAAAAAGGAAAAAGGAAAAAAGGAAAAAGGAAAAAGGAAAAGGAAAAAGGAAAAAGGAAAAAGGAAAAAGGAAAAAGGAAAAAGGAAAAGGAAAAAGGAAAAAGGAAAAAGGAAAAAGGAAAGGAAAAAGGAAAAAGGAAAAAGGAAAAAGGAAAAAGGAAAAGGAAAAAGGAAAAAGGAAAGGAAAAAGGAAAAAGGAAAAGGAAAAAGGAAAAAGGAAAAAGGAAAAAGGAAAAAGGAAAAAGGAAAAAGGAAAAGGAAAAAGGAAAAAGGAAAAAGGAAAAAGGAAAAAGGAAAAAGGAAAAGGAAAAAGGAAAAGGAAGGAAAAAGGAAAAAGGAAAAGGAAAAAAAAAAGGAAAAAGGAAAAGGGAAAAGGAAAAGGAAAAGGAAAAAGGAAAAAGGAAAAAGGAAAAAGGAAAAAAGGAAAAAGGAAAAAGGAAAAAGGAAAAAGGAAAAAGGAAAAAGGAAAAGGAAAAAGGAAAAAGGAAAAGGAAAAGGAAAAAGGAAAAAGGAAAAATGAAAAAGGAAAAAGGAAAAAGGAAAAAGGAAAAAGGAAAAGGAAAAAGGAAAAAGGAAAAAGGAAAAAGGAAAAAGGAAAAAGGAAAAAGGAAAAAGGAAAAGGAAAGGAAAAGGAAAAAGGAAAAGGAAAAAGGAAAAAGGAAAAAGAAAAAGGAAAAAGGAAAAAGGAAAGGAAAAGGAAAAAGGAAAAGGAAAAAGGAAAAAGGAAAAAGGAAAAGGAAAAAGGAAAAAGGGAAAAGGGAAAAGGAAAAGGGAAAAGGAAAAAGGAAAAAGGAAAAGGAAAAAGAAAAAGGAAAAAGGAAAAAGGAAAAAGGAAAAAGGAAAAAGGAAAAGGAAAAAAAAAGGAAAAAGGAAAAGGAAAAGGAAAAAGGAAAAGGAAAAGGAAAAAGGAAAAAGGAAAAAGGAAAAAGGAAAAAGGAAAAAGGAAAAGGAAAAAGGAAAAAGGAAAAAGGAAAAAGGAAAAAGGAAAAGGAAAAAGGAACAAGGAAAAAGGAAAAAGGAAAAAGGAAAAGGAAAAAGGAAAAAGGAAAAAGGAAAAAGGAAAAAGGAAAGAAAAGGAAAAGGAAAAAGGAAAAAAGGAAAAAAGGAAAATGAAAAAGGAAAAGGAAAAAGGAAAAAAGGAAAAGGAAAAAGGAAAAAGGAAAAAGGAAAAAGGAAAAGGAAAAAGGAAAAAGGAAAAAGGAAAAAAGGAAAAAGGAAAAAGGAAAAAGGAAAAAGGAAAAAGGAAAAAGGAAAAGAAAAAGGAAAAAGGAAAAAGGAAAAGGAAAAAGGAAAAATGAAAAAAAAAAGGAAAAAGGAAAAAGGAAAAAGGAAAAAGGAAAAGGAAAAGGAAAAAGGAAAAAGGAAAAGGAAAAGGAAAAAAAGGGAAAAGGGAAAGGAAATGGAAAAGGGAAAAGGGAAAAGGGAAAGGGAAAGGAAAGGGAAAAGGGAAAAGGAAAAAAGGGAAAAGGGAAAAGGGAAAAGGGAAAAGGGAAAATGAAAAGGAAAGAAAAGGGAAAAGGGAAAAGGAAAGTAAAAGGTAAAAGAAAAGTGAAAAGGTAAAATGGAAAAGGAAAGGAAAAGGGAAAAGGGAAAATGAAAATAAAGGTAAAAAAATGAAAGGAAAAGAAAAGGAAAATTAAAAGGGAAAAGGAAAAATTAAAAATGAAAAAGGAAAAATGAAAAAAAAAGGAAAAAGTAAAAGGAAAAAAAAATGAAAAAAAAATTAAAAATTAACAATTAAAAATGAAAAATAAAAATAAAAAAAAAGGAAAAAAAAAAAGGAAAAATAAAAATTAAAAATGAAAATTAAAAAATAAAAAAAAAATTAAAAATTAAAAATTAAAAATTAAAAAAAAAAAAAATTAAAAATTAAAAAAAAATTAAAAATAAATAAAATTAAAAATTAAAAAAAATAAAAAAAAAAAAAATTAAAAATTGAAAATTAAAAATTAAAATTAAAAATTAAATTACAAATACAATTAAAAAATTAAAAATTAAAAATTAAAAATTAAAATTAAAAATTAAAAATTAAAAATTAAAAATTAAAAATTAAAAATTAAAATTAAAATTAAAAATTAAAAATTAAAAATTAAAAATTAAAAATTAAAAATTAAAAATTAAAAATTAAAAATTAAAATTAAA